GGGTTCCTTCTTAGGGTTTAGGGTTTAGGGTCCAGGGGTTCCTTTCAAGAGTTTAGGGTTTAGGGGTTCCTTCTTAGGGTTTAGGGTTTAGGGTTTAGGGGGTTCTGTTACGGGTTTCTAAAAGGGTTCTATACAGGTTCTATAGTATTGCCCTACTTCAGGGTTTGGGGTTCAGGGGTTTGGGGTTGAGGGGTTTAGGGTTTGGGGTTTAGGAAGCCCAGGCCATGCAAATCATGTTTGCGTTGATCCTCCTGGACGAAGGCTTCATGGGCGAGGACCTGTAGGGTTAAGGTTTAGAATTTCGGGTTTAGGGTTTAGGGGTGTAGAGTTTAGGGTTTGGGGTTCAAGGGTGTAGAATTTAGGGTTTGGGGTTCAGGGGTGTAGAATTTAGGGTTTAGGGATGTTTAGGGGCTAGAATTTAGGGTTTAGGGTTAGCTCTACGCTGACTCTACGCATGTTCGGACAAGGAGAATTTGCCGCACATGCGTCATCCTTGAAGCCAAAGCTTTCGACTCCTCTTGTTTAGGGTGTATGTCAGGGTGACGTTGCAGTCGAGCTAAGGTGTCGCATCGTCTTGTACACGGTTGTCTGCTTCGCCCATCGCCCCTACACTAAATCCTAAAGTTTAAAACCCCAAAACCCCTGAGCCCCAACAGCTTAAACCCTAAACTCTGAACCCCTAAACCCTTAATAGGGTGTGGGGATTTAGGGTTTGGGGGTTCAGGGATTGATGTCTGCGGTTTACATGTACGGCGTTTTGCGACCCTGAATCCCAAGCTTACCAGCACTTGGAGGCCCATGGGACTTAGTAAGCAGGTTATATGTAGAGTTAGAAGTACCCTAAATGGAGTTACACCAATTATAACCCCACTTACAATCGACTTACTAAGCCCTCTTGGCCTCCAATTAAGTACATAAAACCCTATAAAATTCTTCATAGACGAATCCTTATAGAACCCTTGAAGGAACCCTTCAAGGAACGATTAAAGGAACCCAAATATTAAATACAAGTCCCCCGGGCCTCCAAGCAGGATTTCGCGACGCAAAAGCTCAATGCCAAGATTTGGCGCACGAGCGTGGCACATGACTACAAGTGCCGTGGGGCAGAGTCTTAATCTAGGGGCCTGGATAATTAGAATAAGGTTTTGGGCTTTGGGGTCCATTATACTACTATTTTTAATAAGGAGCCCCAACATAATGTGGGTAATTATGCTGGCCCCAAGTCGGAGGAAGCTTTGCGAGATATCAAAGTTACTGTTGATGGTATAAATCCTGCATTACCTTAAGGACCCTAAACTATGGAAATTATGGTATATTCCTTATTTTGGGGTAATGCAGGGCTTATATCATCAACGGTATCACCAAAAGGGTTTCGTTGCTATGAATCCAGACCTCTGACATGTAGCTCAGAGTGATGCTGGAGCCCTTTCGGTGCAGAATTCAGGGAGGGCTTCCAGCCGTCCGACAACCTCACACTCTAGGCTAGATCGGAAGTCCGACATTCCCAACCCCTAAACCCTAAAACCCCCAGAATCCAAACCCTATCCCCTGAGCCCTAACCCCTAAACCCTAAAACTCCCCAAATCCAAACCTTATCCCCTAAACCCTAAACCCCTGAAGCCCCCCCCAAATCCAAACCTTATCTCCTAAAGCCCTAAACTAAAAGCCCAAAGCTCGCAGCCGAGCCGGTAGTGTTTCTTGATCGCTGGAGTTTCGAGTGGTTCATTATCCAACCTTGACCTCTTCCCGAAGTCCAAAGGTCTCTTGGAAAGCTTAGGGTTTTTCGGTTCAGGGTTTAGGGTTTAGGGTTTAGGGTTTAGGGTTTAGGGTTTTTCGGTTTAGGGATTAGGGCTCCGAGGCTGAAGACCCTAAACCCTAAACCCTTCAGATGTCACAGAGTCTTGCGGGCTTGCATAAGTAGCCTGTTGCATCTTTTGGGTCCTAGTGTTTGTGGGGCTTAGGTTTAGGGTAAGGTTGATGGCTTATACCCATAGGCCCCATAGTAGTTCCTTGTTGGGATTGCCAAAAAGGATCCAGAATATAAGCCACACAAAGGAACTACTATGGGGCCTGTGGGTAGGTACATGGATCTGGCAGAGACAAGCCTCGTGACGCGGGTCTGCAGCGGCGACGGCGCTCTCATCCTGTCAACGGTCCAGGCTCGAAGAGAGAAACGCAGAAGCAGCCCGAAACACTTAGGGTTTAGGGTTTAGGGTTTACCCTGAACCCTCAGCCCCAACTATAAACATGTTACGTTACCCTAAACCCTAAGCCCTTTAATTGTGGAAATGTTTGCCACTGGGGCCCTTAAGAGCCCTGAGGCTTCAAAGTGAAACCCAACAGACCCGACGACGCCGAATCTTGGGGACCGTATACCCT